CCCCAAAACCCCAAAACCCCAAAACCCCAAAACCCCAGGTAGAGGTCAATTACTGAAGTATGAGAATTAGAATAGATTTTCATTAGAAACCATCTGATCTGTTTCTATTGCTTTGATTTCTAATGCAAAGCTGCGCAAAGTTTATATTTGAAGGGTTAGTTAGAGCCCCCTTGTGTCTTCAGATCCACAGAGCCGTTCAGATATTATATGTAGCTTGGATGCTTACAGAAATTTCTAAATTTACCGAAAGTTACAGAAATTAACATTTTCTGGGACTTTCCAGACTCAGAGAACCTGATACAACGAAGAAGGATACTTTTAGAGTTGAATTGTCGATGATTAGTTTCTTATCAATTATACTTCCTTCTTTAATCAACCCTAAAGGCATTTAAGGAATTTTATGAAAACTTGGGACTATTCATATTTCCCCCACAGATCTCTTAAAGAGGCTATTTTTACTACATGTCGCTTGAAAGCTTGAGTTTACCCTTTGGTAGCATCTTATATTGCTCTAAATGCAGAATATAGGGCTCTAAGAGCTATGAGACAAAGAATTCAATTTCAATAGTTGCATCACGCATCTAGAATTTTAATAACTCAGAAAGTTCTTTAAAAGACAAGAAAGTGAACTCATTCAAGTGATTCTGTAATAGAAATCTGTTGATTTATGAGCTCTCATTATACCATTGATAGCAACATGGGGAAATCTATGAGATCCTGACTCAAGCCTTGATGGCTATAATCCTTAACTAGGCTTTAGAGTTTCCATTAATATCTATGAGACTCATAGACAATGATAATCCGATCTGTTGAATCACTTTTAAGAGCCATCTGATAAATTCTTTTGAGAGATGGTAGAGGGTTTTAAATTTATACTGAAGAGAAAATTCCAATTTTTCAAAAACAAAGAAGTACGAAAATATGTCTGGTAGCAGAACTGAGGACCCTGAAAGTGGGCTTTAAGCAACTAGGCCTCATAAGCAATCAAGCACGGTTTTATTTAGCGTATTTTGGGTGACCTAACTTAATTTTAGTTCAGTCTAGTTCGAGAAGTTTCTCAAATTCTCTCAGATCTTCATTATTCATACAGTTTTAAGATATGTTAAAATTTGAAACTTGAAAAATTTTTGAGACTGTTTGCAAAAACAGACAAAAACCGTGAAAATCGATCGATACGGAAAGGAAAATTAAAGCTATCATATCAATTCGTTAGGTGAAACACCATAATTCCTGCTTATTTTTCATCCAAAAGTCTTTAGAAGTTGCTATGTTCTCCTAAAGTTCAGTTCCTGGCTGCACCTTGCCTTGTTGTCAGAGTGAACATAAAAACGATAGATAAATTTTTCAAAACATTGTTTCCATCTGATATCCAAATTCCCAAGATTTGCCCTCAGAGGCCCTCTAGCCTATATTTTAGGTGTTCGGTGTCATTTTCTCCAACCCCAGACTTATCTATCTCGATTGATACCTTAAAAGTGAAATAAGTCTTTTGAGGCAGTTGTATAAAAGTACTTAAACGAAAATTTTAATAAAAATTTACAATAATTATTTTTAAAACTACTATCAAGATAATGGAATTTACTAAAGACCCAGAATTCATGCCATTCAGCGATGATCTCGATCAGCCAGACTTCATGTTTGATCTTTCTCCCTTCGGTGGTTGCAACTATATTGAAGAGTTTATGACCACTAAGAAGCAAGATCCAACTGAAGTTATTGCCAAGAAAATCAAGGCTGAAGAACTAGGTGAAGAATTTAAACCTGAGTTCAGCCTCTGTGAAGGCTCTATGGATATTAGATACGATTTTACAGACTCTACTCTAAATCAGGACGTATCTAATGCCTTCATCTTTAACTTTGATAATGCTAACTCAAGTGGCTCCCAGACTCCTTCCAAGATATGCAAAGATGATACCTCTGAGAAATCAGAGGAAAAGAAGCCAGACTCAGAGTTAAGTGATATTTTGAAGCCTAGACCAGTTTTGGTCTCTTCAACTTCCGTGAGATCCAAGAAGGAGTCCGCTGTTGATAAAGGAAAAAGATTTTCCAAAAAGAATGATGCAGGTAAGGGTCATTTTCAACTTGTATTATATCTCCACTGCTGTAGATACCTATAATCTAGTAATAGTTATCACATTTAGAAGCTTAGTCTGAGGTCATCCCAAGAAGAGGAAATTTTAGGTTTACCCAACTTTATTTCTTCTCATTTTTGAATACCTGATACTTATTTTAAATAATCTATACCCAGTGCTGTCAGTGTGCCTACATCTCTGATAAGGTGAGGTTTACCCTCATATATTTGGATACTTTTCTCTCGACCTTTAGTGGGAGGAAATATTTTTAATACATTTCAAAAGTTATCTAGACCCAATGGTGTTCGTTCTTCCAACAGAGAGAGTCGTTTTAAATTTTATGCGAAAGTTTCTTAAAATTGAATTAAGCCTGTGTTAACCTGTTGCTGTATAGACTTGTTCAAGATTCTCAGAAAATTATGTGAGGAGAAGGGAACTTCGATTAAGAATTTCTGGAAGGATGATCTTCCATTAGTGCAACCTGAATCTTCCATCTTGTTAGACCTGACCTTGCAAGTTGGATGGAAGAGAAACAGGAAAATCGATTTGTTGAAGAGAATCAGAAGAATCGGTCGGAAACAGTCTTTCTCAGTAAGAGAGACTAAGCTTCTTAGAAGGTTAATGAACCAGCAGAGGAAGCAAGGCACCTATGATTACGAATCTGTGCTTGAGCACTTCCCTGGGAAAACTCTCGAAGATGTCATCAAGAGGTTTAACGAAACGAGCTAAATGAACTTATGGTTGATTTTTGTTAAAAATTATGTCTCACGAGAGATTATAGTAAAAGTAAATTAATAATAACCCATTTCAACAACTTTACGGTTACTTGGGGTTTTGGGGTTTTGGGGTTTTGGGGTTTTGGGGTTTTGGGGTTTTGGGG